TCCATGTTCTTTTCCATTATCTCCGAAATAACCCATATATGGGTAATTCCCTAAATCATGTGCCCCGTCTGGTTACGAAATATATTACGGCATCTAGTATTTAGGATCCAATCGGGGGAACCCTAAACCCTAAACGCTAAACCCCAAACCCTAAACCCGAACCCAAAATCCTAAACCCATATGAGCTATAGTCTAAACTCCTAGTATCCCCCTTAATATGCCCTATAGTAGTCCCCTATATAATCCCCAATAAAACCCCTTTTAAGGAGTTTAGACCATAGCTCATATTATATTCACCATACACTCATTCTCCTTGGCTGCAAGCTGGCCACAGGCTGCCTGATTCAGGAAACTGCTTGCAAAATTAGGGGTACCCTTCAAGGGGCTGCCAGGGATATATATGGGTATAGACTACAGGGCGATATGGGGTTTAGGGGCTTCCCAAGATTAGGGGTACCTTTAAAGGGGTTAAGGACTAATATAGTGGTGGTTAGGGTTTGAAGTTTCCCAAATCTAAGGTTACCTTTTTGCGGGTCCCCATGATCAGGATTATAATATTTTGTGGTCTATGTTGGGGTCCCCCTATTTAGGCAAACTACCAATTCCAAAGGCATGCTGGATGGGCAAATTGGCAGCGGGCGACTTTTGCACATGTGGTACGCCCAGTGACGATTGGTGAAACGACTTCTCTTCCTCTGAGAAGGGTCTATCGCACGAGAATTTTTCTCGCTGCTCCTACTGCCTCGACTTCCAAGGCCTGACCTCCACATAGCATACCTACATCTGCAAAATCAGTGAGACCACAACTTGTGTGGGCACATTCCGCGGCAACATGCTTCATGCAATCACATCTTGAGTCTCCTGGCTCTCACAGTCAAACTGAGAGAGGATGAAGCAGCTCTTGTTAGCTTTGCGTGATTCTCGGATTGGCTCGCAGGAAAGTAGTAGCTCTGACTGCGCAGAGCGCTCCGGTTAAAGCACCACAGGAGAGCTTCTCTGAGCATGGATGATGATAAAGGGTGAAAAACAACAAAGCTGCAGCTCTTCCTGACCAGGTCGGGCAACTCGCGCTGATGGGAAAGCACGATGATTGGGACTCCGCCATAACCTGGGCTGCTGTAAAGGAACTGAATGTAAGTTACTACCTTGGGGGAACCATATAATTTACTGTATATACCCAAATCATATGGTGATTTCAACCCTGAGCCCTATATACCTATATTAACACCCGTATTATAATAAGATAACCTACGTTCCTCAACCGCAACCCAGTAACGCGCATCGGCCCGTACCGTCTTCACAAGTCCCTCGGCTTCCAGCTCTGACTTGCCCAGGTCAACGATGAGCACATGGTAGCTTTCCTGGGTATTGGGGTATTAGGGTTTAGGGGTTTTGGGTTTAGGGTTTAGGGGTTAGGGTTTACGGTTTAGGGTGGGGGATGAGCACATGGTAGCTTTCCTGGGTTGATGTTAAGGAACTTAAAGATGAGTTGCCATAATGGGCATGCATAGTAATTAATTTGTTTCCCCAAGATCATTAAGTCACCATTATGGGTATATAGTAATGAAATGCAATTAAGTTGCCCTAATATGGTTGAGGGTTGAATTACCATGTCATGGGTGCATAGGGTTTGGGGGGTTTTAGGGGTTTGGGGTTGAAATTCCATTTAGCTTGGGCATATATACAGTTAATGTGTTTCCCCAATAGAGCAACTTAGATTGAGTTACTTAACAGCAGCCCAGTTTCTTTGCCGTCCTGGAGCCTCTTCCAGAAGTCGTTGGACGAGCGCGCAAAGCATATGGACATCTCATTGGCGGCACACATGAGGGATCGCATAATCCCCTTGCGAACATCGGCCTTGTCCGTGAAAATGAGCACAGACGTCCCTGACACCGCCTTCTCAAAGGCCTTCATAAGACGCTGAGCCTGCTTGTTCTTTCCAGCTTTGGACTGGTCAGGTGCATCCTCCAGCCCCTCTGGCTTGGCCTCAGAGAGCTCCACTGTGGTTGACATCTCTGGCAGCTCTTCGACCAGGCCTAGCCTGGGAAGATTCGGAACCGAGGAGGTCTTCAACACAACAGGCGCAGAGTCCTCCATCTTCACTTCTGTCTGGAAGAAGACTCCACTGCTTGTTGCTGGCATGGATGCAGAGTGTGTAATTGCAGGCAAATGCTTCTTGAATTCAGGGAAGACTTCCTCATACCTCGCACTTCCAGGCACGGTATGACCAACCGGATTGCTGGGAGGCCTCCACCGAGAACTGCCTCGCTTTAAGCGTCTTAATCCAGATTTGTGCTCCTTCAGAGCTACTGGATCTGCATAGATTCTCCGGACCGTCTCCACACCAGGACCACAGGAGGCAGGAGCACTGTCGCCCAGGCCCTCCAGCACACACAGAGAACTGGGATTCCTAGGCGCGACAGCACTGCCAGTGCTCAAAAGCATCTCAACCAAAGAAACAGATCAGGTCACGTGCTTTCATATGCTTTCAGCTCAGCTACTTGTCGTTGGGGGGGCGGCGCCGGTGATCTAGCACCAGCGGCAGCCAATCATCAAGGTCCTGCAACCAAAGCTGCGCCATGTAATCTTCTTGCTATGCAGACTACACGGAGGCAAGCCCTCGATTCTAACAGGGTGCTACAGCTCAAATATCCCCCAGTAATGACCCGTATTTAAGGAGTTTAGACTATAGCTCAGACCTCAGATATTATTATTACTATTGCTACTCTCATTACTATTAGTACTATTTATTATTACAATTCATAAAATTCTCAACAACTATTACTATTATGACTATTATTGCTCGTATTAAACTTTCATTTCTCATAAGCCCGTCCTCTATTTCGATCACCGGTGGTGCTCCACTGCTAGGCCTGACTTGCTGCTAAGGAACTTAAACTAAGGTATTATAATGGACATATATGTATAGTACTTGATGGGTATATAGGGTGAAGGGTTTAGGGCGTGAGTTACCAGAATGGAAAAATGGTAGTTTCCCCAAAATACTATGATCCTTATTATGGGGACCCCTAAAAAAAGTACCCCTAAATTTGAGAAACCCTAAATATATACCCTGAGCCCTAAACCCTATATATCCCTATATAACCCCTATATAATCCCTATAAACCCCTCTAAGGGTACCCCCAATTTAACAGCAACCCAGAGGCGGAAGGCGCACTTCCTGGCGCTCCGCTGGCTCCTGCTCTCGCCTCTCCCGGCGCTTCTGAAGTTTGGCCAGCCTGAAGACTTTAGGATTTAGGGTTTAAGGTTTTTTTTGTGGGGACCATTTCTTCAAGGCACGAGTCCCTAAAGATGCCATTCTGGCACGGTTTAGGGTTTAGGGTTTAATACCAATATTAAGAATAGTGATAACGGTGATAGTAGCACTCATAACAGTAAGAGTATTGATAAGATTCGCACAATTTGTAATAATAATAATAATACTAATAATAATAGCAATAGGAAATGATGATATTAATGACAACATTTCAGCAATAATACGGATAATCGTAATAATAGCAATAGTCATGATTGCAATCGTGGACCCAAAGCAAGCAGGTGAAGGGTGTTGTATTCCCTTTTAGACCCAGTAACACCGAAACAAGTAGACAAGAAAACGGGAAAATGACATGGATTCTGGGAGTATAGCGTTTATGGTGCAGGGTCAATTAAAGGTTGCATCAATTGGTTTGTAGGGACACCACTCAAGTGCTCTTTGCCAAGTAGCTGTTTGGCCGCCGCCTTGCTCGCACCTGCTGGAACCATGACATTTAGGTGCTAGCACAGCAGAGTGCTGGAGCCAACCGTCTGCGGCCGTGCGCGATGTTTAGGATTTTGCCACTTGCATGGC